ACGTTCTTTACAGCTCGGTTAAGAAGAGCGTCACTGACCAGCAAGGCTCTACGTTCCACTAAAAAAAAAACTAAAAAAAAAACACAATCTAAATGAGAAAGGTTTTAACCTAAGTAATAGAAAAGGTCGAAAGTACTTGGGTTAAAAAAAACTACGGCTCCTTCCTTGGTGAATTTCATTTTTAACATCAAGAAACTGATTAGACAACTGGAAAAGACCACTATAAAACTAAGTAGACACAATATGCCTATATTTTTCAATGAAACATTTCGAACATCTTCCATGACTACTGTGACTTTGCTCTTCTCTGCCATGTCGACAGAATTCTATCACAGTACTCCATCGTAGTCACTTTTTCTACATCTGTTATTCTTGTTATGTGATCCTCCTATCTCTTGTTTTGATCACTTCTATGATAATGGTAATGGTAAAATTAATCGTAGTGGTAAAATTAATGTTATTGATAAAATTAATGGCAATTATAAAATTAACAATGAAATTAATGGTAAAAATAGTTAAAAATATAATGGTAAATTAAAATTAATGTTAATGGTAAAAGTAATGGTATTGATGAAAATAATGATAATAGTATAATTAATGATATTGATAAAATTGATGTTAATGGTAAAATTAATGGTATTGATAAAATTAATGTTAATGGTAAAATTAATTGTATTGATAAAATTAATGGTATTGGTTGAATTAATGGTAAAATTAATGGTAATGATAAAATTCACGGTAATGGTAAAATTAATGGTATTGGTTAAATTAATGGGAATGGTAAGAGTAACCGTTCCATACAGGAGATATTCAGCTTTCATTCTCGTTTGGAATTTATAAAAGCCTTTCTCTTAAAATAGTTTTTCAAGAAATTAGACTTCTCAAGTCAACTAAATGTTATAGCTCTTTCTAACACTAATTAAGCAGTTTCCTTCCAGGTCTTTTGTTTAATGTGCAAAATTAACAGCTTGATGATATTCTTATTTACTTTTATGCGCTAAACACTTTCTGACGTTAGAAGTCTTTAGGTGATGCGGTTTTTGTTATCTGTTAATTCTTTTTGTTTTTGATATTTTAGCGACAGTCTAAAGAGTTTGATGGTGGACTGTTTTCTTATTTTTAGTATTTCTCTTCTCTTTTGTTTTTTTTTTTTCTTTCCAAGCGAATTAGTTCATTCCCCTTTTTAACATTCGTACATCATATATGGTGTGTTGCGTTGGTGTATATTTTTTCATTTATGTGCCGAATTGTTTCAGGATAAGGGCGATCATGGCTCTCCACAATTTCCTATTATTTGTACCTTTAAGCAATATCTGTCTCTTTGCTATATCACATAGTTTTTGGTCTATCATCCATTCAAAAAACCCTTGCATAGATATGCTGCACAATGTTTCCTACTCTCCCCGTTGCTTTCAATAAGTCCTATGTTAAATTCTATAAGCCCGTTTTCCTTATTCTTCTTTATGTGTCCCCTCAGGACATAGGCGATCATGACTCTCCACATCTTCCTGTCCCTTGTAGCTCTTAATAAGTTTTGTCTTTTTCTTATTTCTCCCAAACCCTGTTCTACCATTCATTTACTCAAGCCCATCAAGTATGTTTTGCGCTGTTTTTCTCTGTCCCGTTTTCCATCAATATGTCATTTTTTTTTCTTTCCTCATTTCGTGCTCCAAAAATTTCAACTGTCTCTTCCTGATGTTAAGTCTAAGTTTCCTCTTTGCTTCAATTTTCTCTAAAATCTTGTCATTGCTCACATATTCGTTCCACGATATCCTCAGCATCTTTCTGTAGAACCACATTTCTTCGTCTCTTCTTCATCTTTGAAGAGATTGTCCAGCATCCGCTGCCATACAAGAAAATAGATATCACGAAACAACTGACTGAAATGGAAGAGCAGACTGATGCGTGTATTGACCTTTGCAATCTTTCTATAAGTCTGTGACTCTTGGATATTGAAAGCAGAACTACAGCGAAGAATACAAGCGTTAGAAATGAGATGTTGGGGTAAAATCCTAGACATTCCCTACGTAGATCACATCACAACGCAGTACGAGGGACCACCACCAAACAGGACCAGGAAGAGCTCAGAACTACCATCAAGAAGAAAAAGTTGAAATGGCAGGAAGACGTCACAACAGTCAACAATATTTCTAGTGTTGTCCTACAAGCTACCACCCTAGGGAAAAGAAAAAAGTCAGAGGAAATAAACAGGGCTGACAATATCACTGAATTAACAGGACACATATTTTCTATGAAAATTTCTCGGACATTCAGGCCGGTAAATGTTCTTAATACTGTTTATTATAAACAGAGCATTTACTTAAATATTTGTATCTATAAAAAGAACGTATAAAATTAAAAAAATGTAGTATATATATATATATATATATATATATATATATATATATATATATATATATATATATATATATGAGACTATTATATATTTTTATATATCAAGAACAATAATGGGGAAAAATGTATGACAAAGTGCAGAAAG